CTCGTACGCACAATTTAAGAACAAATCTGTGCGTACGAACGGTTCTTGCATGAGACTCATTGATTCATTCAAGAAATATCTGAAAACACACCTCTTTAAACAAGCTTTTAACTAATTTCAGCATTTTTCTGCAGCCTGACCTTTTAGTGTCTGTTTCACCAAACCCTACCTACCGACCGTACAATTCATCATATTAATATATGATAAACAGCCAGTACTTTCATCCAAAATCAGTTCAATTTATCAAAAATGTATTTTTCTAAAATGTACCAGCACTCCACAATCTACCCATTTTGAGACCTGCCTCCAAATTAATTTCTGATTTAAAAATCCTTCATCTTAATGTGTTAATGTTTTACTCTGCCCTCCCCATTTTTGTCTAGATATTATTTACTTGTTTTATTTTTTGGATTGCGCAGTCTTGATACTTTGATGGTTGTACAGCTTTTATAGTTTTTGTTCCAAATTTTTGTATATCCTGTTAAGATTGTGTATCTTGGTTTCCCTCTGATTTTACAGCAACTTGTGAAACTATTTCTATGAAAGGTGCTATATAAATAAAACTTTACTTACTTACTTCCTGCATCAAGGAGGAGAGTCACAAACTGTCATCAATAAAACAGATCGGTGTGTCATTACCAGCACACGTTGGAGATTAAAGCCTTGATTGTTTTTGACACACTGGAGTTTGAAAGTGTTTGTGTTTTGCACTTAGACATGTTAATCTGATGATTTAATTGTGCTAACTGGGGCTAAATGACTCCACGCAGGAGCAGATTGTAAAGCTGGAGCCTGCTGGCATATTTTACAGTCAGAGCAAGGATAATATTTGTGTATGCACAAAAGATCTTTGTTTACGCCAAAGGYCTACAGCTTTGTGTGGATCATTCTTCTTTCATTCTCTTTTTCTCTTCACGCAGATTTAATCTACTGCTGGAAAGTGACCAAAACATGAAGCCAGATTAAACAAGTTTATGGATTTTGTTCAAACATATCAGTTAGGCTCTTTAGGTTTAAGTTGACTACTAGAAACATAATAAAATGTGAAGCTCCTAACAGGATGTTTATTGTGAGAGTAAATGTGTTTTATTTGAACRTTTAGTTTTTATGTTTGCGTGTTTAATTACTCACTCGACTGTGTCCTCCCAGCTACACCACTGACTCCGGTCCAGTTCTTGCATCTCGAGCCTGAACTTGGCCAGACAGAACTCTTCGATGGCGAACTCATATTGCGACCCACAACCCTGCGCCAGCACACACTGAGCCACGGCTGGGAGAGGGAGGGAGGAGGAGAAAGATGTTAGGGACAAAATAAATATATAAA